GACTTCAACTCCCAGAATTCTGGGAGTTGAAGTCCACTCATCTTAAAGTGGCCAAGTTTGGACAACTCTGGCTTAGCATGTCCAGAAACTGGTAGCCAGAGGTAGTTGGTAATAGGCTGTTCACACTTTGAAAATGATATGAAAGAAGTGCATTGGACTATGCACAAGAGCAGCTTTTTTTTTTTTTTTTTTTTTTTGTTTAAGCAGCTCAACTTTTTGAGGCTTCCACACAAGCCTGAAAAAGAGATGCTGCTGTGTTAAGAGTTGCTTTAACTTCAATGAGTAGATTTGCTAAATATCAACTTTGAGTTTGGTGCATTGGTGTAAAGGAAATATCGACATTATCCTCAGCTTAGGCCTGTATCCTTCTGCACTTAGAATATTTTAGTATTATGAATCATTTACTTACAGTACAAACTCAGTACTCTCTAACAATGTTTTATTAACAATGGTATTTTTGTTAAATATTAATTTAAATAGCCAAATTATAATATATAATACATTACAAATAAGTATGACAGAGCCAGTTTGCCATAGTGGTTAAGGCATCAGACTAGAAACTGAAGACCACGAGTTCTAGTCCCACCTTAGGCATGCTGGGTGACCTTGGGCCAGTCATTCTCTTTCAGCCCTAGGAAGTAGGCAGTGGCAACCACTTCCAAAATCTTGCCAAGAAAACTGCAGGGATTAGTCCAGGTAGTTGCCAGGAGTCAACACTGATTAGAAGGCACAATAAAATAAAATAAAATAAATAAAATAGGAGTTGTCAGCTGACTAGGTAGACCAGACCAAGAAATCAACTCCATAGGAAGGCTAAAACTACTTTTATTGAGATTGGCTGTAATAACAGAATCTTACAAGTCTGATTGTGCCGTACCTCCTCCTCCTTACAGTTCAATGAATTAGGGAAGTGTCTGTCTGAGGCGCTTCTGAATATTATCTGTCTGTTGTGGACTTAAAATATGATTCACTCCCCCTGTTACCCTGGTGACAGATCTTGGATATCTTCATCAAGGTCATCTTCCTTACTCTCTACAGCAGTTGAGAGATAGGTAGCAGTTATAATTAATGTTTTGATTCTTTGTAATTAAATATCGTAACAATGACTTTTCTCCCCATTTGGGAATTCTGTATTCCAGAAGAAGCATAATATATGCCAGGAGCAGACACTTGACACTTTTGGGAACAACTGACATTTTAAAACCTTTTCACAGAGTTGTGGGGTCTAACCTGTTGGAGAAATGGGACTGTGGGACAAAGAGCTTACTTTGCCAATTTTCTCTCATCTTGAAGTCTCAATTTACATCTCTAATTATTTATCTTGGAGTCTATCTATCCCTTAGTGGAGATTTGTAGGAAGTATATGGGGCTGTAAGGAGGAAACAGCAAAGATCACCTCTTTGTATCATCTTCTACATCAAACTATATACATATCTGCAAAAATCTAATAATTATGTTTCAGCATTACCCAAATCTTAGGAGTAACAGCATTAATAGTGAAGGCAGCAGACCATAGGTGAAATGTTGATTCAGATTTCTTGTATTAGAGTCCTGTTCAGCTGAAAATTACTTACCTTCTCTCTTCTATTATTTTGACTTGCCACAGACATATCCTGGATCCTTCTGTTCCTACATAATTTTTAAGCAGCATTACTTCAGTTTTTCCATACCTGATAGAACTGTATTGTAGTATAATCAGTTGCAACACCCTGTCCCTGACTAGGTTGATTGTCAGGACTTACAAGAATATTAAGTCTGGATGCAGCTATCCCACTTCTATAAATAAACTAGCCAATTGTATCAAGCCTTAAATATAGTATGCTATTTTGAATTTTTAAAGAATTTTATGGCTTCATCTCTTGTTTCAAGATGAGTGCTTGTTATGAAGCATTTTTCTTAGCAATTACTGAAGACTACAACCTGATTCCAATTCTAAAAAATGTATTCAGCTGCCAGCATTCAATATACCCATGACCTTCCTTCCATGACTACTCTTGCCAAATGACACATAGTCTGTGACCAAACATTGTACTTTTCCTAGAGGCAGTAAAGACATCACTTAGAATAATTTCAAGGTAGAGAAAGGACTGAACCTTGTATATCAGAAGTTGTGAAGACTATATTTGTGGCTTAAATGGAGCTGTCATCTCAGGACATTCAAGCAAAATAGCCGTTGGAAATGGCACCAGTATAAGTATCTGTTTTACTAGCTTATTCCAATGGATGTCACTATTTTGCTTTTAGACCGGCATAGGGGAAAGATTATTAGACATTAAATACTTCAAGAAGCAAATTCTGCCAGTATTTGAAGACTGTTGTAATGCTTCAGATATGGGGAAAGGAGACCAATAATCTTTATAGAAGAAAGAACAGTGACTATTTATTCTACAGAGTAATATATGCTTATTGTACTGTATTTCTTTAAAAGGTTATTCTCTCAATTTTTAAATAATCGGCATTAATTTCTAGGGGCTAAGTCCTGGTTGTTACGATACCTACAACGCTGATATAGACTGCCAGTGGATTGATATTACAGATGTTAAACCTGGAAATTACATTTTAAAGGTAATCAAATTTCATTAATTATAAACCCAAACACATTTAGTATTATATGAAACTTGTAAAACATAGCATGTGCTTCTTTTATAGGTTAGTGTAAACCCTAGTTACTTGGTACCAGAATCAGACTATTCCAACAACATCGTACGTTGTGATATCCGTTATACAGGCCATCACGCGTATGCCTCTGGGTGTACAATTTCACCGTAAGTTCTTTCTTGTTTCTCTCTAGTATTTTGCAGTACGAGTAACAAGTAGCATGAAGAAAGAAGTGTGTTGTACTGGCAGGAAGTATATCGAGTATCTTTTTAAATGAAATTGTCAGACACAATGTTCAACTAAAGTTGTGTGTTATACTTTTGCAAGGGCTTTATGTACTCCCTTTTTCCTTCCCATGCTGTAGCTACCCTTTTAACTAGAGTTCTCCATTTGGTCTCAATGTGAATTTTCAGACAAGCCAGGAACCTAATTTTTTTGAACTAGCTATGGTTCAAATTACCCTTCCTTAATCAGTTGCTTTATTACATTTGAATTTATAGTGTGATAGCTAAAAATAAATTGTCATCTAGTTTCTGGAGGATACCAGGTTGGAAATACTAATTTTCTAGCCAGAGCCTCCCCCTCTCCCCCAAAAAGTTTAGGTATGATTGGGAATTACATTTATTTTAAAAGTGAAATGTCTGTTGTCCTCAGTAAGATAGAAGATGTGTTAGGTAGGGACTTAGAGGCATAGCATTTGGGGGCTGTAAAGTTAACTCATAAAGGAGACATACAGTATCTCTTTTCAGGGATAATGTGACTGGATGGAACGGGAAACAGACACAACTGTTTTAAAGGGTTGCTACATTTGCAAGCCATGTTAATGGAACTGAATCCCTGCAAAGTAGGGCTGTAAAGTACTTCAGATCCAGTTCCAAAAAGGTGCTCCGGAGCATGTGGGGCTTGTCTGCAACTTTTTAAAGCAGCTGTATGTTTTCTACCCAGCTTCTGTCCAGAGATACATGCAATCCTGGGAAAAAGCATGGCTGCTTTACAGAATTGCAGACAGGTATTACATTCCATGCCCCTACATGCTCTGAAGCACTCTCCAGTTCTATTATGATTTCATATATCTGGAACTGGGCCTGTGTCTGCCCATATTTCATACTTGTTTTGGTTTCATGTTAGATTCATTCAGTAATAAAAATGAAATGGTTTAACCTTCATTTTTCCATAAAGCAGTCTAATTAAGTGGCCTAGAATGAACCTAGAATAATGCCAGAGTTGATTTTGTTTGCCAAAGCATGATACTCAAATTGGATTGTTTGTGAAATCTTGTTTTGAACATTTAAAGGGATTCGTACTTCCCTACTGCTCCATGAATTTAGCAAACATCTGCTGTTACTCCTGGCTCACACTGACAAACTCTCTAGTTGTAGCTTATCTCTTCGAAATATAGATCATCATCACAATTATGATCTCCTTTGACATCCCCCAGCTCAAAATCATGTAATTATAAATTATCTTAAGGGAGAAGATCTATGTAGTTATTAGGGAGTTTAGTATTTTCCACTATGCCTATATCTGCAGGACTCTCTGTAATGTTTCTCTTTATAAATGTTTAAGTAGATGCTTAAGCATGGCATTTGCATATCACAGATTGAATATCAAGCTTTCAGTAACTAAGGTGGAGTGATTTATAACAACGTAACTTTTGCCTTAATCCCTCTAAGAGCCAATTTCCATATTTATTCCCTTTATTCTTTAATTTGCATTCAGCAGTTTAGCATTTGGCAATGTATAAATGCTACACCACCACCACCAATACTGCTGCTGCGTACCATTTATCAAATAACAGATTGAAAATGTTCACTACCAGTTTGTAGTTGTGGTTGGTTTACAGAATCAACTACTCAGAGGGACCAAACTTTTTTGCTGCAGCCCAAGTTAAGCAATTTAAATGTCAGCAGTACTACTAGCAGAACTGTGAGAATTTGACATAATTTTAAAGTTTAAACATTGACAGTGATTCTGAAAGAAGCTAAACTTCTTTTAAAATCAGATATTATTATGTGTAGAAAAAACAAGTATCTTCTCGGACTACTTAGGCTTAGATTATTTACAAAAGATTTATGTGAATGGATATTAAGTCTGTGAAAAGCATTCAAAAGTAGTACTTCATGAAACACATTAGCATGAACTTCTCTCCTAGATGTGTTAAAGTAGCTGCGTTCTTTGGAAGGCTTGTGTTGCGGCTCCAAAGACTGGCCCTGGCTGTTCTGTTGGCCCCAGCAGAATGTATATGCACGCACAGACAACCAAAGATAACCTTTAAAGCAGCTGTGGGAGCCTCCTAAAGGACATTCCTACTTTAATGCTTTTAGGGATGGTGCTTAATTCATGCCAGTGCAGATAGTGAAGCATCTTTTGAGTGCTCTGAACAGCCTTATACAGTGGGGCAAAAAAGTATTTAGTCAGCCACCAGTTGTGCAAGTTCTCCCACTTAAAAAGAAAAACCTTTGGAGGGAGTTGAAAGTCCGTGTTGCCCAGCGACAGCCCCAAAACATCACTGCTCTAGAGGAGATCTGCATGGAGGAATGGGCCAAAATACCAGCAACAGTGTGTGAAAACCTTGTGAAGACTTACAGAAAACGTTTGACTTCTGTCATTGCCAACAAAGGATAATCAGACAATGTGATTTTCTGGATTTAAAACCTTTGGAGGGAGTTGAAAGTCCGTGTTGCCCAGCGACAGCCCCAAAACATCACTGCTCTAGAGGAGATCTGCATGGAGGAATGGGCCAAAATACCAGCAACAGTGTGTGAAAACCTTGTGAAGACTTACAGAAAACGTTTGACTTCTGTCATTGCCAACAAAGGATAATCAGACAATGTGATTTTCTGGATTTAAAACCTTTGGAGGGAGTTGAAAGTCCGTGTTGCCCAGCGACAGCCCCAAAACATCACTGCTCTAGAGGAGATCTGCATGGAGGAATGGGCCAAAATACCAGCAACAGTGTGTGAAAACCTTGTGAAGACTTACAGAAAACGTTTGACTTCTGTCATTGCCAACAAAGGATAATCAGACAATGTGATTTTCTGGATTTAAAACCTTTGGAGGGAGTTGAAAGTCCGTGTTGCCCAGCGACAGCCCCAAAACATCACTGCTCTAGAGGAGATCTGCATGGAGGAATGGGCCAAAATACCAGCAACAGTGTGTGAAAACCTTGTGAAGACTTACAGAAAACGTTTGACTTCTGTCATTGCCAACAAAGGATAATCAGACAATGTGATTTTCTGGATTTAGGTGACCAAATACTTATTTTCCACCATGATTTGCAAATAAATTCTTTAAAAATTCTCATCTTTTTAAGTGGGAGAACTTGTACAATTGGTGGCTGACTAAATACTTTTTTGCCCCACTGTAGATAGGAACATCTATTCTTATTCCATCTGCAGTGTTAATAAAAACAATTTAAGCAAAAGACAATTAACTAATAAGGGTAGGCAAATTAGCTGAAATCCAATTCAAATTAGTAATCCAATTTGAATTTTTGGGTTGCATTATTACATCCATTTGATTTGGAATAATAATGTGTATATATGCACAAGTCACTTGAATCTTCATATTGAATTGACTTGATTAAAAAAATTCTGATGATTCAATCAGATCTCATTCAAATTGAAATCCCAAATTGAATCTTATCATTCCTAATAGCTAAAAATACTGCTTATTGTATTTTTAAAACTAATTGGTATTTGTAATTTTCTGTGCAGCATTCTGTTTCTGATAATATTAAACTTGTTTCCTTTCCGCAGATACTAAGATGAAAGAAAATCGATTTACTGATACCCAAGGTTTGGAGACGCAATTATTTTATAAACTGAATAGGATGTAAACACTTTTGAAAACTGAAAAAAGGACCAGAATATATACAAAGAATTTTAGTCTGACTCTGAAGCATTAAGAACTTCTTCAGAATGAATTGCTTATTCAACTATTCAGCTTTTGAAAGCAGTGAGACAATGGTGCTTTATAGAAAGAATATTAAATTCTACAGGAAGTTAACCCATTTATATTAATATCTTTCCCATTGACTATTGGAAATCAGAACAATATTTGAAAGTGCTTTTTAGATATGTAAAGGGTGCAAACATAGGCAGATATCCAAAAAGCTGCTTTTAATTTTATTGGATGGTTCATGCATGTCTAATGGGAGTTTAAACATTTATGTTTAAATAGCAGGTCCATCCCTTCACAGTATTATGAAACTCTTCTAACATCTTCCTTTTTGGGATATTTCTTGTTATATGACAAGGGTCAGTGGTACTAGTGCCCAAAGCCTCTGGGATTATAGAATAATTTCACAGCTCTTTGATATGCAGTCATGCAATACTGATTATGAAGAGTACAGGGAAGGATCTGTAGTCATGAGACAAACCCTGGTAGGGAAGATGCAGCTTCCACAAATACTAAAAACTTATTTTTTTTGTCTAGTGGATACAAAAGTATGTATGCTTCATTTTAAAGGACAGATTTATGCTTAAACACCTGATTGCATACAAAATGATTCTATTTTTAAAAGCATTAGCAGGCAAATAACCTTAAACCAAAAGTATATCAGTATTTTAATACATAGAATAATGAAACATCAGAGTTGCCTATTTCCTGTGCTTCCTCCAGACTGCTTTGCATTTTCATTTTTTTCCCCTTCCCTGAAGCTGGAAAGAGTTTCAATTAAAGATGTTGGAAAGATTTTGAATTACAGATGTTTAGAAACCACTTCCCATGAATAGGACTTGGATAACAGATTGAAAATGATATATACTCACCAGGAAAACAAAAAAACAGGGCTGAGTTCATAAGCTTGATGCTTTGTGTCATGTTCCATTATAAAATCTACAGTTCCTAGCTACATTTAAAAAAATAAAAAGTGAGCTACATTCAGGTGAAGTCATAAAATGAGCCTTAACATACTGACTTGACTGAAAAGGATTTATGTACATGAACATACAAAAAACTGTTCTTTTAAAGCGTTTGTTTAGAAAATCAAACTGAACGATTGTATACACACACACATAGATGTGCTCAAATAAACATGTATTCAGGCCCATAAACACCTGCATTAGCCAGGTATTATGCAAACTAGGAAATCAATTCATAGTTCAAATTTTGTACTTGGGATATTAAACCAAACCAAATTACAACCCCAGTGAATTGTACTAAGCAGTAGTTCAACTTATCAGTAAAATAGGGTTGGATTTTATATCTGAAATGGATATACAAATCCTCATTTGCTGAAACAGCTTGACACAGAATTCCTAAATTGTGATGTGCATTCCGTTACATATGACACACAACACTTGAAATATATGAAATAATTTTTAATAATTCTTTTGTGGAAAGATTTTATAATTTGGATCCCAAATATTTGGATGCCTTTTAACTCTCATTGTCCTTTTGTCTATGGTGAAATCCAACATCATACATTCCCTTCCATTGTAGAGCAAATTTCCCAAAATCTGCTCTCGAGCACCTAGGCGCTGCATTGTCAAAAGTAAGCAATTTACTTTCATCCAATGAGCACTATAATTTGTCCCATACATTTAGATTAAGCATTTATTCTGGTAGTTCAAGCAACGTGCCCACAAGTCTGTGTGGCCAAAATCACAAGACCTGATCCTTCCTTTCCTTGTCAAGGCCTCCTTATCTTTTGATCAGTGTTGAACCACCACTCCTGATCATATTTCCAATCACACATTAACATATCTTGCACTATTATGTCTACCACTTGAATTGTTTATATCTAAGCTCCGGTTGTACAAAAAACTAAATTTTTGTAGCAAGGAACTGTAACTGGTATTGAGATGTCAGTAACTACTGAGAGGAGCAGCCCCTCAGGAAAGTTGCTGGCCTTCACTGTAGCAATTTAAGAGAGATAGTTGGCCTGACAGTTGAGTAACTTTGCAATATAGGATCACAATCTAAAAGATGCAATTTTTTTTGTTACCGTAAAACCATATTTTCATGTATAAACATTATAGAGTATGTTATTTATTATGTGAACAGAAACAGTTGGTATGTGTAGAATCCAGTCTAAGGCAAGTTGTTTTTACCAAGGCCCTCTGAATAGAAAAGGATACTAATTTGTGAAGGATCCTGTAATTTATAGAATTTTTGTTGGCCCTAAATCATAAAGTAGAATTTCTAAATTCTAAGGAATATCTCTTTCTTACCAACTTGGCTGCTCAACTGGAAGAAATATTGAACAATGGCGAAGATCACAGGAGTGTTCTACACTGTAAGGCTGACCCATATATTTGGCTTTTATTAAAAACAAAAACCTTTGCTGTGCCAAATATTACATGATGCATGATTACATTAAGAGTTTTTTTTTTTAATGACAAACCAATAATGGAAATTTCAAAATCAGCCTTTCTATACATTCCTATCATTTCAAGCTGGATATAACTGAAGTACTATATTCATTTCATTGAAAGTGGTCTATCCTGTGCTTTTCAACACAACAAAGCTTTTCACATTCCAGAAATTACAAAGGTGCTTATATATTTAACTTGAACTGAAAAAAAAGTATCATGTTCTCCTAAGAACCTTACTTTAAAATGTAAACATCTTTCTATGAAATGTTTTATAATTATTCATACACTAGCGTTGTATTCTTCACAGAACTTCCTTATTCTTGTACTGTTCGCAAATTTATGTGAAAATGACATAAATAAAAATGTTTCAAATGCTGGAAGTCTCCTCTAGTTTCCACCAAAATGTAGTCCAGATCTTTAATAAGTTAAGAGAAATCTTTATGTATAGCATCTGGTATTATTTTATAGAGGGAAATCTTGAACCTCTAATAAAAATATAAATATGAGGCTTTGCACAAAATATAGTTGAGAAGGAATAGGTTCAGGAGTGGTTTGGATGTAAAAGTAGGTTGTGATCCACATATTTTTGGTGAATTTATATCTGCTTGATACAGACAAGAACTATCAGCCGGACAGTGTACTGTATTGTGGAGTAGACATTTCTTTGAACCAAGTAGTGTTTGCATTTCTTTATATGAATATTCTTCATATTTAGACGCTTGTATATTCTTTATATTTCGATGGATGCATTTCATTCTAGCAGATCTCTTTATAGTTGATAACGCTAAGAAGCAAAGGTTAAAAATCCACTTGCTTGTCTCGCCATCTTACCAATGTTGCTGCCTCACATAGACTCTGTGGTTTCTACATGTTTTGTTTTTGGTATTTTACAAGGATATATACCACTCTACATGCGTGTGCACACACAAACATTTTATAGAGACTTTTCATCTACATTCTACTTAATTAGAAAAAAAAATCTGATTTCTATTAATATAAGCCAGGCATACTTTGAAATGGCCTCACAGTACTGTGCAACACTATAATAATTGCCTTAGCTATCTCATATTACATTCTAAAGAGAAGTATCATTGGGTTGAATTTAACTCCTGGTGCATCCATGAATTCAGCCATATTGTTTCCTTGGCAATGATATGAAAGTGGCTAGTCACTATCTTCTGCCAGGATGTTTTTAATCTTGTAGTCGGAATATCATAACTATTAACCAGGACAAATCCTACTTTGCTTTTTAAGATCAGCCATGATTGGCTAGTTGCTATCACCCAGCTGGGCTCCAAGCAGCATTTAAACTACTCAATTATGACAAAGACAGATGAGATTTCTGGAGGAAGGTTGCATGTTTTAAGGGTAGATTACTGTTTATGGAAACTTAAACCTATCTGTGTTGTTTTTGTCCCTCAAATTGCATGTCTTTCTTCAGCAGCATGATTCCTGAGGATTTAAAGAATTCCATAGGCCTTTAAACCTAGGAATGTCAGTTGGTGTAGTGGTTGTGATGTTGAACCAGGATTGGGAAAACCTACATTCATCACCAGCCATGGAAGCTCACTCAATGACTTTGGGGCAGTTAATCTCTCAACCCAACCTATTGCAGAGTTCTTGTGGAGAAGAATAGGAGCATGGAGTTCAATATACAGCCCTGAGCTTCTGGAGAAAAGTAGAATATAAATAAATAGGTTGCCAACTTCTGCAATGTGGAAATACAAGAAATCAAAAATCTTACCAGCTGATGACCTCATCCAGAAGCTTTACATAGATGTTACAGGAGTGGGGAGAATCTGAAGCACTCTACAAAGAAGAGGCTCTGGGCTAAATCTCTCCCCTCCCATCAATGCCAACTGGAGCCAATCCCTTGAGCCAGCCCAGAAGGATACCATAATAGTATTGAAAGCCACTGAGGGGTCAAGAACAGCAAGGACATGCCATCCCCATCCTGCTTCCGCCAGAAGTTATCCATCCACAAGTCTGATCAATTCTGTCTCAGTCCTGTACCAAGCCTGCAACCTAACTTAAAGGGGTCCAGTTAATCTGCTTCCTGTGGGTTTCTCTGAGCTTGCAGCACAACTACCTTCTCAATAACTTGCCCTAACAATGGAAGGTTGGAGACAGGATGAAAGTTGTCCAATATGGTCAGGTCCAGCAATGGTTTATTGAGGAGGGAGAGGACCACCTCATCCTTCAGTATTTGTGGGACCATCCCTCTCTTAAGGATGAATTCACCACCATCCAACTACATGTCAATAATCCCAGCTGATCCCTAGAGCCCAACTTAACAAACAGGGTCTCCCATCTGGTTGTCTATGGGGTGGTGCCTCTGAAAGCCACCAGAGTATCCCAGGTAACCATAGCTACTCCACCACCCATTCTCTTGAGTTCTTGGTAGATACCACACTCAAAACCTGGGTGGGCACATTTCCAAGAGGGGGATCCCTCCCTCTGCGCATCCAGGTCTCACTAATACATACTAGGTAGATCCTCTCATCCATAATTAGATCACCCATAATCACATATTACAGACCAACCTGGTGTTCAGAGGCGGCAGCAGCAGCCAAAATCCCATGCCTCTGAAGATACGATGCCTGGGAATTGGGGCAGAACAGAGTGCTCCAGAATGTGGAACTGGTACTAGAAAACAAGACCATGTTCCCCAAAATAACTCTTCATGATTGGGGTAAAATGGCCACAGCTCTAAATGGGGATTGCATTGCAGCTGCAGGCCAAGCCAGCAATATAGCCTCCAGCTCACTCCAGCTCCTGGCAGCCCACAGTGGTTGGGCATTCAAAACCTTCAGCACCCCAGGGTGTCCTGCCTCATTCAACCTGCCATCACTCCTCAGGGAAATCCACCACTGTCTAATCCTCCCTAGCCACCTTCACCTGCAAAGGCACACCGCTGGCCTCCTCCAGTGCTGCAAACATCTTCCTTGCTGCAGTGTGCTGTCAGTTGCCGAACAGCTGATTAGTACAGAGATGGCAGAGGCCCAGTTCCGCCACTTTCACTGGCACTCCAGAGAACTCCAGCATCATTCCCAACCCAGCAGGAGGCCAACAGCTAAGTACTTCCTGCTTCTACTCCCTTGCCGCTCAAAGTCCCAACATAGGGCAAAGCCTGTGCTGGCTCAAATGAGGCACAGTTCTCTGGTCCGCCCAAATTGAGGAAACTGTGAGAGACCCCTCAATTTCTTCTTGCTCACTGCAATCCTTCTCCAAAATACTGAAACCCTCAACAGTTCAGGCCCATGCCACAAAACAAGCCAAGCTTTGGGGCATCTTAAAAAACACCACCGCCAACTTTAATCACCAATTACCAAAAAAAAACAAAAAACAAAAAAACCCAACACCTTAATAATCTGCAAATGCATGGGCAACAGCATTTTCAAATTTGTTTCAGACCAACATTTTTTTAGCAGGTTTCCTTTTCCAATGAAGATTTTACTTGGTATAAAAGGTAGCTGAATGTGTAATACTCAACTTAATAAAAGAGAATAAAGGTTAAAATAATAGTAACCAGCTACTGGATGCAAAGTAATTATTATACAGCCTATCTACAGGAAGACTTTCAGAATATATTTCAAATAATATAAACATTTAGGACTATTTTCCATAGACAGAATTTTAAAATTCCTTAGTAGTTGTAAAAAAATATAAGCCACAACTGCAGCCTACATCTCCTTAATTAATCAACTCTAGATAAATAGAGATAATATTTTTAAATACATACAGTGGGGCAAAAAAGTATTTAGTCAGCCACCAATTGTGCAAGCTCTCCCACTTAAAAAGATGAGAGAGGCCTGTAATTTTCATCATAGGTATACCTCAACTATGAGAGACAAAATGGGGAAAAAAATCCAGAAAATCACATTGTCTGCTTTTTAAAGAATTTATTTGCAAATCATGGTGGAAAATAAGTATTTGGTCACCTACAAACAAGCAAGATGTCTGGCTCTCACAGACCTGTAACTACTTCCCATCTGAAGTTTGCTAGAGAGCATTTGGATGATCCAGAAGAGGATTGGGAGAATGTCATATGGTCAGATGAAACCAAAGTAGAATGTTTTGGTCTAAACTGGGAGAACTTGTACAATTGGTGGCTGAGTAAATACTTTTTTGCCCCACTGTATGTATTTAAAAATATTATCCCATCTGAAGTTTGCTAGAGAGCATTTGGATGATCCAGAAGAGGATTGGGAGAATGTCATATGGTCAGATGAAACCAAAGTAGAATGTTTTGGTCTAAACTGGGAGAACTTGTACAATTGGTGGCTGAGTAAATACTTTTTTGCCCCACTGTATGTATTTAAAAATATTATCCCATCTGAAGTTTGCTAGAGAGCATTTGGATGATCCAGAAGAGGATTGGGAGAATGTCATATGGTCAGATGAAACCAAAGTAGAATGTTTTGGTCTAAACTTAGAGGAGATCTGCATGGAGGAATGGGCCAAAATACCAGCAACAGTGTGTGAAAACCTTGTGAAGACTTACAGAAAACGTTTGACCTCTGTCATTGCCAACAAAGGATATATAACAAAGTATTGAGATGAACTTTTGATATTGACCAAATACTTATTTTCCACCATGATTTGCAAATAAATTCTTTAAAAAGCAGACAATGTGATTTTCTGGATTTTTTTCCCCCATTTTGTCTCTCATAGTTGAGGTATACCTATGATGAAAATTTCAGGCCTCTCTCATCTTTTTAAGTGGGAGAACTTGTACAATTGGTGGCTGAGTAAATACTTTTTTGCCCCACTGTATACTTTCATATTCTCAGAATATTAAAAGGCCAAATACAGTAAAAGCATTTAGCCATTGTCATGTTTGTTTATAAACAATTTCAATTCTCATTTGGAATTCTACTCTACCACTAGCATGGTTTTACATCAGCCATATCTGTTTAGAAGAACCCCTTTCTGAATAATGTTTCACAAATATACTGTCACATACACTCCAGTTCTAAAGCTTATGGTGCTTCATCAGATCATCATTTCTATTCACTCAGCTTGTTCAGGAACCAGTAACTAAATAGAAAAGCCACATTTCATGCCCGAAATGAAGTCATGTGGTATTTTAAATTATAGGTTTATTATGGCATAATCTTTCAAGGATACCAGTCTACTTTCATCAGATTCATCAGTGTTATTTGTGAGACTGAATACATTTTTCTGTTTCATATCTATAACCGCAGGGAAAAAGCAGTGAGTAGTGGGCTAAATGGCAAAAACGAACAAATAAACCATAACATCAACCTTGCAACTGAATTAGAATGTAACTGCATGCAAAGCAAACATAGTACTGTAATGAAGGTCAAATAAATAAGAATCCATAGTCTTGTTAGTTTTAATTTAGCTATTTGGAGCTTCCTTCTTCCTCTCTTGGATAATAAGCAACTAAAGTTGCTCAATGAAAAATTATTTTTCCTCAAAATCATCTTTTTAGCTTATTCTGCTTTGCACACACGCTGCAAGGATTGTAACAATATCCAACATTGCAAAAACAGCTAAAAATCAGAGATGCATTTTTAAAAAGAAAATTCTAATCTTCAAATTTAATTTTTTTCCCTTGGAATGCTGTAATTTGAGATATTTGCTCTCGCAATTTTCTGCTTGCTTCCCATGATGGATGAAGGGGTTGCTCTGGAGGGTTCCTCTCGATATTACGCTTCAAAGCCAAACTTTTAGGCATCCGTTTCTGTGGGTGATTTTTTTCAAAAGCTGTGGAAGAATTAATGAAGAATAAAGTATAAATAACTTTTCACACACTACAAAGGCATATTCTTTTAAGATATTACTTAAAATACTTCATAATTATATTGTAAACTGATGGTAGAGCATATATAGTCATATGTACGTATATTAAGCAGAAACAACTTTAATATTGTTACGCTTGTCCCAGTTTTTAGACTATTAAACATACATTGACTGAAAAACAGCATTTCATGGAGGTATAGGAACATGAGTAGCAATCTCTTCCTATGATGCTGGGTTTAATTCAAGACAGACATATTGATTTCCTAAGCATGTTTTTCCTGGTTTACTACAAAGTACAAACATCATTAAATTGTATTACATTGGTAAAGTTTTCCTATGCTGTTTGAACTCCACTTCGAAGGAAGTCTAATAAACATTTTCATTATTTATTTATTTGAATTTATTAGCCACCCAATTCCAATGGACTCTAGCGGAGCTAAAAAAATCTTTAGACTACAATTTTACTTTCATTAGTTTAGTAAGCTGAACTGAATAGGATTTAAATTCTGACTAGATATATCTAGGAATGCACTCTTAATCTGATTAAAATGATGCCAATTTTCACCTGTGCTGAGCTGTTTCAGAAATAACTTACTGAGTCAAATTTTGATACTGTATTTTTTTTAAAAAAACTGAAAATATATTGAGTTCAAAACCCATGAGGAATAAAAACATTATTAACTATATAATTAATGCAAAACAAGATTTCATTCTTCATGAGTCCACACAGTAATGCCAAGAATATTACTTCAGTATTCTCACTTACTTGTCTTGTTTCTAGGAAGATGGTCTCTAACATTTCTAGAATAAACAATAGGAAAGTTAGTGGTGAAAAAGACTGTAGTTTCATGCAAAGGACAATACACTGCTCTCAATACAATAAATAACATTTAAAAGTGAATCCATAAAATGAATCTAAAGTACATACATGGATGCATAATTTATTTATATGTGTGCTTACATAGCCAAACTGACCCAAATGTAACTTAATTCCTATAACGTTTCCCAGAATCAATCTGGGAAGAAGAATAGATTCTTCTTAATCTATTAATGATGCTAACAAGATCCAGTTTCTCTGGATAACCTTCAGTATGAAAACTGTCTCAAACAGAACAATTAGGGAGGAATCATGTAAGGCAGACAAGCGTAGATGCAGTATTACTTTTGCTATGGAAAAAATAGAACACAAAAGGAGTGCTGCTTTTGTGTTCTATTTTTCCCATAGCAAAAGTAATACTGCATCTACTCTCCGGCGGTATTTGTGATACACACATACGGCACACAAATTACAGGCATACATTTAATGACATGTTTGATAGTAGCTCCTTAATGCTATGTTTATTGGGCCTAACTAGAATCTGTCTTCCCCACTATAATGCTCCTTCTGTTTCCTCTCTGGGGACTCAGTACACAAACTCACTCCCACTGAAAATAAAGGAATGTTACTTTTGCCCCAAGAAGAGAAGTCTAATTCCTCTTTGCTGCGTGCCAAGTTAAGGAGATGGGGAAAAACTCTAGGTCATGCGATTTTATTCTCAAGATTGAGGAGGATACTATTCTCTTCCATTAATTATCAGGAAAGTAAGCTGTTTTTACAGCATTGTTTGAACATTGTTAAACACTGTTTCAACACTTCATCAGATTTTCAGTCTAGAAAATTGTTCCTACCTTTTCACATGTTCAGGTTTTTGAGTGCTGGACAATGAATAATAAAAAATAGATTCAAGCTTCTCTGCTTTCGAGCGCTGATTGCTGTCTTTGGAATTTGTGCCCAGCATCATGTCACATTGAGGATCCTTTGGTTTTTTTAGCAGCATATTTCTAATTTTTTGATCTGTAGGCTGTGAAGAATTAGCTGCTTTCCTTTTTTTCATTCTCTTTACTTTGCCAATGAAGAAATCATCATTATTGTTGCTTTCATCAGTACTGGAAGATTGATTATAAAACCTTTCTTCTGTACTGTCATCAAAACATTCCTCCTTTCCACTTTCCTCACTTTCACTTGGATCTCTATCACAGTCACCTACTTTCTTGTTTACATTGTCATTCAAATATACTTTTTCTTCTGAATATTCAGAGTTTCCAATTTGGTCCTGATGAATTAATTTATGATGTTTAGTGTCACTCACAGCACAAGTGTATGACGGACATTTTTTCACACTATTTGCCATTTTCTGCATCCCACTTTCAGAAATGTGCTTTTTTCCCATGTCAATTTTTGGCTTTTCATTTGCCTTTGTTTTATCTTGAGATTCAGCTTGTTTAAGTGTTTCACTACTAATAGAATGCTGGGTCTCCCCATAAGGCTTATTAAGTTGCTCTTCCAATTCTTGTTCTTTAACTGGCTTCTGTCTTGCATTTTTAAAGGCTTCCACCGCAGCTAGAAAAAAGAAACCCAGATTTTTTTTTAAAAAAGGGTTTGTATGTGTGTATGTATGTATGTATGTATATATACACCAAATTTGTATATAAGTACAGTAAGGTAGTCCTCGACTTACTACCATTCATTTAGCGACCGTTCAAAGTTACAACAGTGCTGAAGAAAGTGACTTATGGCTGGTCCTTGCACTTACAACTATTGCAGCGTCTCCATGGTCACGTGATCAAAATTTAGGTGCTTGGCAACCAGCATGTATTTACAATGGTTGCAGCATCCCAGGTCATGTGATTGCCATTTGCAACCTTCCCAGTCAGCTTCCAACAAGCAAAATCAACAGGAAACTGTGTGATTCACTTAACAACCACATGATTCACTTAGCAACTCTGTGATTCACTTAACAACCACTGCAAAAGTGTTGTAAAATTGGGTGCGGTCACGTGATGCCTCACTTAACAACCGCACTGCTTAATGATAAATTTTCTGGTCCTCTTGTGACTGTAAGTCAAGGACTACCTGTAATGATAAAGAAGTTATAAAACAACCCTGTTATTTACAAGTTTAAATAGTTCACATTTCCTTCTCAAAGTCTTTATTTAATGAACTGTATGTTTCTTGCATTAACTGTGTTACTTTCATAGCATTAATAGGGCCTTTAGAATAATTGGTTCTTTTCACTAGTTTTAGCATCACAAGAAGGAAGTAGAATATTAATTAAAAATGTGTATAGTCTATCAATCTTCCACTACAAGATATACATGCAACATTATGCATGACTTATAACAGCTTTGTTTCTACACAAAAAAATATTGCAACTCTTTGGATTATGTGCAAGTTGAGGCATCAATTAATTTTCTTGGTGACCCTGGAGTTCTTCCTCCTTTCTTTCTTTCAGGTAAACAGAATGCAAAAAAAAAAAAAAATTAAAATGCATGGTGACTATAAATTTAATATAAATATAAATGGTGATTCAGAGGCCAGCAATGTATAGACCCATTTACTGTACAGTCTAAGTCATATTCAAGCAAGACACTGCTAATTTAGAAAACAACCTTGTACACAGATGAGCTGGGGTGAATTTTGCTTACCTTTAATATTAGCAATTTTGGTCTTCAGTAGTGGATGAGATGTCAATCTAGCAATTGCTCTGTCTCTTGCTGTAGAGCTAGGCTATATTAGGAAAATGAGTAATCATGGTGAATGAGACAACACAGTAACAAAAAAGAAAAGTACATATAGGTATTCACTCCTGCAAAAATACTCCTTGAAACAAGACTGTATTGCGAAGCTCAGCATTATGTCCATGGGCCTTTCAATCCCAAATTAGAGCTTCCAGTTTGCTTAAGAACAGCCTATACGCCATTCAAAGTGGTAGAAAACCACTTCAACAAAAAGCTGATATTTGCTCTTCTGAAGTCACAGATCCTCCTCCAGATTTTTGTGGTGGAATGAATTTCCCTTTCCCAAAAGAGGGAAATAATGTACGTTTTGCATTTGTTAAAACACCTTAAATAATTTCCCGCAAAGCATTCAAGCTAAATAGTCTCTTAATACAAGTAAATTGAAAAGCTTAAGAATCTATTGCTCAACATTTTACTGACTAAAGTTCCACTGAATTCACTCGACCTTGTTTTTATATGCTGCATCTTTTCATTTATCTTAGAAATTATTGCTGCTGTATTATCACACATAATTGAAGCAGCTGGCCTTATTTCATTCTAAAGAAAAAAACTGAACAGAGGGAACAACAAATCTTGCTTTCTTTAGATTTTCAATCCATCTACCAAAGATGCTGTTCCCAAATACATACTTTTTAAACTTTCTGTTGCAAATTTTGAGCAAAATTAGTGACTAATACTAGATGTGCTGAATCTGATATATATTTGAATATATTCTAATTTGTAAGGTATTTTGGACATGAAACTGTGCTACTTACTAAAACTTCACTGAAATATAAAATTAAATAAATGCATAACATATAATGTATGAACAAGCAACCTATTGTGATTTAGACCCTTTGGACTTCAATTCTCATCAGTTCCAGCCACCATGGCAAAGACTTCTGTAGATGTATGCTTGGTATAGTGGATAATGGGACTATGCAAAACATTCAGATAGGTGTGGTGAGCAGAGCACTCCTCCAAAACCACTGCTTAAAGCACTGTGATGGCTAGCTGTATCCATGTGAATTCTCAGATGCTTCGAAGGCAGTCTGTGTCTGCACACTTCACCTAGCAAACCTTAGTGTGTACCAATAAACCCATAACTGCTTATTCTTTTATGCTAAATTGCAATTCTCTGAAAGGATGCTAGTCTTTTCCAATGTGAATTATAGTCTTTGGTCTCATATGGATTATGGCCTATGCCTTATATATAAAGCAAATGTTGCATCAATAGAGAACCTAGCAATTACAGGTAGTCCCCAGTTTAAGCACAAGTTCCGTTCCCAAGGTCTGTCCTTAAGCCGAATTTGTGCATAACCCAGAACAGTATTATTATAAAATACTATATAACTAGTATTGTGTAATTAACTCGAACCATTGCATATTTAACTCGAATCATTGTGCATTTAACTCAAATTTTGCTCCTTTCTTAACTATGGGTCATCTGTAACCTGGGCGTTTTTAACCCAGGGACTACCTGTATTCGGGATCTGAGCCAGAGACAGAACAAAATTCCACGAAACCTTGACTGGGGAATTATATTTCCGTCATTCCTTCATTGAGCAGGAGCTGGTAAGTCCAGGAGAACCCAAACTGAGCATCAGTTCTGTCCAGAGGTGTGCATTTCCATTCAGAACTAAACAGAAAATTTTTAGTACCAGAAAAACCAGGAGCAGACAGCTTGATCTTCTCCATCCATCCATTCTCACTGTGGTCATAAAGAAACTTGCTACATGGATTTTGTCAATCTCTGGTTTTGAAGAAGTATTTTATAATCCTATCCATGCATCAAAAAATAATAAATGCTCACCATTCAAGCATTGCCAATAAGCTCTATCCCTCTTGGGACTCAGAATATCCTTATTCTTCTACCCTATCAAGATTTTATTTATGTGCATCAAGCTCACACTTATTATTGTACACATAAGATCCCCTTTTGGGAATCTTAGAGGCTAATGTTATTTGAGCGACATAGGTAGAGGCTGAGCACATAGAAGGTGAGTACTCACATGATAGGTAATTTTCTGAATGCCTGTCAGCCCTTCATGGTAGGCCAGGTCAGGAAACAGACTCCTTAAGAATGACTGGAATGCTTTTTTATTGGTATAAACTATAGTATCAGAATGTTGAAAGCCTACGTTTTCCCTTCCCTCCCTCTTATACCCCAGGGAGTTAAGGTGGAGTCAGTTTGGTCTTCTTTCTAATGCTTTCTTCATTTTCTGGACTTAAAACTTGTTCCTGTAACTGTCACTGTATAGTTTCTCCAAGATCATCAATGCCTGTCCACAATGCCTTAACAGGATGTATGAAATGGGGCAATTTCTCCTATTTGAGCAAGCTGAGATGTACATTCTGCAAACTGCTACAAGGGAAATATTCATGCAGTTTCATCACAATGTTTATATGCAGATGAGATAATCATCAACAGAATTGCCACACTCAGGGAAGCCAGGCTTATGATCATAGTGAAACATAATGACCAGAAGTAAACAAAGTATTCAAGTTAAGTAATCTTCTATTTAAGTAATAATACAAGATGGGAATATTTATAACTAACTTTCTTGAGCTAGTTTTGCTCAAAAACATATTATTTGGCATTGGAGGAGATACTAATTAGAAAAACAAATTTCTACTGCTCTGAAAATATTTAAGAGCACAGTTCAAATATCCACATTTTCTGAGGATCAGAAGATTTATTCATGTACCTTACTGGAACAGAATTAGTCATAGCAGGCAAATTTTACACTTCTATGTAACATTTTCTCATCACCAATGTTCTCCAACTAATCACAGCTATTTCTGTTTGAAGTTCACATCTGTTTGCCATGGAAATTTATCAGGAAACTGTGGTTTTATACAGCCACAGTCATTTCCACTCTTTTAAATCTGTAAAACGTATCCCTAAAATACTGGAAATAAGAATACGTAGATATTATTACTTTTGCATCCAAGGAACTCTGAATAGCATTTTAACATTAGAAATGCTGAATAGTCTAAGTCAGTGTTTTTCAAGCTTGTCAACTTTAAGATGTGTGGACTTCAACTCCCAGCTGGCTCCCAGCTGGCTAGGGAATTTTGGGCCTGGTCTAAGATAACTAAGCAACGGTATTGCCCTAAAAGTGTGCAGAGTCCAAAAAAACAAAACAAAAACCCAGAAACCAAGCCCCTAGCAGAAGCTCTACCTTCATATTGCAAGTATTTGGGGGCCTTAAAATACAAGTAAATAGCAAAAACCCTACCTGTCGGTAGAATTCCATGTCCATACAATATAAAGCGTATGCATAATGTCAAATATTACATTAATTCAGTAAGAGTTGCTAAGCCTCAAAGCAAAGACTTGACAGTTGTTTATTTTTTTGTGGCTTAACGACTGCATGTATATTTTTTTAAAGGAAAGAATGTAAAGAATTTATTTAAGTAATCATGTGTTTGGCTATTAATGCAGTAAGAAATGCCAACATTTCTGAAAGAATCAGGCATAATTTGGTATAATTAGCATGATACCAAAATAATATTTTCAAAGTTAGGAGTCTTAATCTATCAAAACAACATTGGTTTGTGAGGACTGCATCCCTACATTTCTGAAATCACTTGACACAACATTTAGCTTCAATGCTCATTGAATAAATGCAATAACAGTAAATGAATTGTGATGAGTTGCCTACTGTTTTTTTTTTTTTTGCAAATATGCTGCTATAATTGAATCTCATAATTTAAATATAAAAACCTACATACACACAGGTACATAAATTAAAGCAAGATCTTTGAATCTTAAATAACTGCAGCAAGCAATCAGTCTTCAAATACAAGAGATATATTTAAATCTGTTAGGAAAATTCTTGATTTTACAGCAATACAACAGTAATCTTGGTGGTAGAAAAATGACCAAAGGTGGTCTTAGTAGATATTATATGTAAAAAAAGGTCCCTTCCTGTTCATCTGCACAGCTAATTCTCATTTTTGCAGTTAAATATATCCCCAAACCACTATCAAGAGTTAGAAATAATTTCTTTCCTTTTAACTGTTTATGTTCTGCTAATTAAAAGGTGAAACATTTATATATGAAGAGAAATCAGAGTATAAATGTGTTGGGTAAATCTGGAGTTACTGACCTAATCATGACCTTACTAGCATCTACAGAAACAGTCGTGTAGCTTCCTGAATGTTATACTAATACGAAACTTGTTCCTTTTAAAATAAAAACAAATCCAATATATACATCCCAAGCTTCCATACTGTTCAATGAAATATATACTGCTGCTTTGCTGGAACTAGGGCTTGGATCATTGGATTATACATAGTAGTAGTGTCATCCTCACTCTATCCTTTAGACCCACACCTAATTGGTTTTGTTTTTGTTTGAATAAAGAAAAAATAGAAGGAAAAAAAATGAAAGTTGGAATAGGCAGAAATTTGGGAATCTCAGGATCCCACATTTCAAAGACTGAGTTGGACACTGATAGACACAAGAAGATTGGTATATCCATCAGTTTTTTTGCTATATCCATCAGTTAGCAGAATGATATTCAGCAATAAATAACCTACACAACCATTTTAAAATGCATTCCCATCTTTGTTCCCACTCTTGAGAATAGCCAGATTTTTTAAAACAGTTACTTCAGAACAATAAAGAAACATACAGGTAGTCCTTGCTTACCAACTACCTCATTTAGCGACCATTCGAAGTTACAATGGTGTAAAAAAAACCCCAGCTTTGCAACCAATCCTTGCATTTATGACAGTTGCAGTATCCCATGGTCATGAGATCACAATTTGCACACTTCCCAACTGGCTTGTGACAAGCAGAGTTAATGAAGAATGAAGAAGTAAAACCGCAAGTTGCTGTCACATGATGTTTTGTTTGACAACTGAATGGAATGTAATGTCTAAGCCTGTCGCAGCCATGTGATTTTCTGCTTAGTGACTGCAGCACTTAGCAATGGAGTTGCCAGTCCCAACTGTGGTTGCTAAGCCAGGACTACCTGTATTGAAATGTTTTCTGGGCTTTTAAGTTCAAAACATCTGCTGAAATATCAAGCAACATATTTTTTTTTCCATTAATCAGCATACAACATCTAAAATAAATGTCAGATTTGGGAAAATACGTTTTAAACCATTTAAATTGATTTTTGTAGCAAAAATGCATAATTATTACCAATTCTATAGAGTCTAGTTTTCCCTATCATCATCAAAAGCTGAAAGTGTTGGCAACTACCTTGTCTACTGCCATATAAAGAATTACTCCTTGAGACATATAATTATGCCTTTTTTATTTTGCAGAGAGCTGAGAAAATGTAACAAATTTTTAATTGTGATTAGAAATCTTGTCACAGATTCTATCATGCCCAAAACATGCATTTGCAATTAGAAGTTAGAACATTCAAGAACAAGAGCACAGAAGAATCTGTGCTGACATCTGTAAGCATTGTATAACATGTTGCCAGGGTCATTTGCAGGGATGGTCAATGCCATCAAAATGCAACCAGGTGATCAAAGCCTTGCTCTTTTTTAAATGGTTTGCACACATTGCATGGTTGCACACACACATTAAAAGGTAGCAAAGCTTCGATCACCTGGTCATGCCTACCATTTTGATATTGTTGAATGCCCTTGGGGATGCTCCATAAGTTGCACTGACACACTACTGGGAAGTTTCATCTATTACTTATGTTGAAAAGGGTTGTAAACATATATGCTTGTGTTAAATACTGATGGTGGCATGAGACTTTCCAAGCAAAAATACAACTTTAAGACAAGTTGAAAGTATCAAACCTTTTTACAGATAATTCCAAAGTCAATTTCTCTCCCAAGTGCTGATTTGGTAACCTGATCAAGTTTTATCTCCTAGAAAATAAAAAGAGTTGGTTAATTCCTCTGTGCATGCATGTGAGCAGTTTCAGTCCAAGAAAGAAGCAAGAGAAGTGTCATTTATGCGCTGCATTTCTGTTCAGGGAGAACATTCAAGGGAGTAATTAGTTAAACAATAAGTACAGAGACAAAATTGAAGTAAAAATAATTACAGCCAAAAAAAACAAAAAAGAAACCCTGGAAAATGAAAATATATTTATCTACTTATTGTAATTATTTATTTCCTGCTTTTCAGAATAACAACCTTCACAAATTCAAGCAATGCAAATAATTGCAAATAAAATACATATTATACTCAAAACAATCTGGGGACCTTTCTCTTAGGCAGTTGATGATAATAGTCAGAGGAATAAATAGTGCTGGTCCAGCTCAAGCAGGATTCAATAGGTCTGTCTAAGTTAGTGCAACTACTGAAAATAAATGCAGATTTGTGATTGTTTACAAAGTAAAGCCTACATTTTAGACCAGGTGCTGAAATGCTAGAAAGTGTGACCTTGCTACATCACCTCTATCTATTCTGGATGATCTGTATCAGCTGCTGGGGTGATTGGTACCAAAAATGCCAAGTAGGACCTGGGCATATTGACTCTACAGCATGGGACCATAGGTGCCAGATTAGGGACAATAATTCTAGGAGAACAGCAGATGGCTTGTTCTGCTAGTCCTTTTGACCATCTTTCTATAGTTATCTCTTTCTGTACTTCCACATTTGGCTCTAGATCAGCATTTTTTAAAGGAAAACCTTATTCTGGTGATACTGTAGAGTTAAGAATTTTATCTGAAAAGATTTTACAAAGCTATAAGGATTGCTTTTACAACTTTACAAACAACAAATTCCCTCCTAGGTTAACAGTTTCCCATATATTCCACTTAAGATATCTTGTGGCACATAACTGCAACTACGCGTAAAGGTTATTTAGTACAAATAATCTGCAAGGTTGTCTTCTGTGTTACAGTGCTCCATCCAGCTGCTCTTAAATATTCTGGCAGCATGCCATTTGATCTGCAATGTCAGCTTTCTCTTCAGTGGGAATTTTTGAAGCATACATATAAGTATGGAGAACAACCCTAGGATCATCCATACCATCTTCTTGTCAGCCTGGGTAAGGTTGTTTTCCTTCTGTACTTTTTTTAAGACCACATTAAATTGTGTTGCTAAATATTAACACAGACTTCCATCAGCAAAGCAGACATCACTTTCAAGTTAATGACTCTCACAGTCAGCAATGCCTTTTTTCCCTGCTGTGTTAAACTTTCTCAGATGCTTTGACCTGCATTTGGCTATGTCCCATTTTGCCAACAGATAGAGAATATATAAAAAGTATGCAACAGGGTACTTTCCAGAGAAGTCATACTATGCAACGTATAACAAGTTTTGAGACATAAGGTATTTTAAAGAGATTTGCAAGAAAAGTATTGACTTGCTTCTCAAGAGCTTACAAGACTAAACAAGGAACTTTCAAAATGTAGAACTGAGGACAGGGTGAGAATAAATGGTTGCATCGTGCATTTGCCTACTGCCATATTAGACAAGTGTTGAAAGAGCTCTACTGGCTATTGATTTGCCACTGGCCAAATTTGAGGGCTTTGATATTAAGCATTCTAAACACCTTAGGTCTAAGAAACTTGGGAGTAGGATCTCTGTGAAAACACTTTCTTCCTTAGAGATCTGCCAAGCTGCTATCATTAGCAGAGTTCTCCCCCTCCTCTGGTAACAAGAAAGTATTAAAATACCACTTTCCATAACTGGCTTAAACTGTTTAAACCAAAGAGTTAATGTAATAGGAGCATGATCAGATATAACAATACGATGAATAGAAGAATCTAAAACTTATTCTATGGGCTATGTTGGAAAGCTATTATCTACTTCCCTTGGGGTCATGGCAAATGCTTGGAACAACATATAACAGAAAAGGTGTTTTATTTCCAGGAGTGCCAGGTGTGAGAAACCTTTGGACCATATTGTGGCATAGAATGGTTTTGATAATGAGACTCATGAATATTGAACTCTTTAGAAAAATTCTCCTAACAGGTGGTAAAATCTTTTACTGGATAGTATGGGTGGAAGCTGGGATTATGACTTTAAACCAATTATTATGTAATGATTGTTTTAAAGATTTTTCCTGGTTTCAAATTGAATTTGTGCTGCTTAATTCACAACAGTGCAGTATTTTCAACTTAGGCATGTCTGAATGGCTCAATATGGGCCAGATTCTTTGACTACTTCAAAGGCACCTGAGAAGCTTTCTTATCTGATGGAATTAACGAAATTATGACGAAATAAACCTAATATTTCCATCAAAAGGGAAAGATTTTTTTTTTTTAAGTGGACATTTCTGGGATATTTTAAATATGATCTAAAGAGTTGGAATCTCTGATAAAGGTCCATCAGTGGCTACAAGTTCTTAAAAATGTTAAAATGGTATGAACAAATTTGAGATTAAAGTTGATTCATCAAAAATTTGTATTAGAGTTAACTGGATTCCCCAAAGAATGATTTCAAAATGATGGACATCAGATTTTCTTTGTTGAAGGTGTAAAAAATTTGAGTATTCATTGGCCCATATGATATGGCCCTGTAATCATTTGTCAGTTTTTTGGAATGGTACTTTAATGTATGTAAGCACATTTATGGGAACACTTTTAAAAGTTAAAGATTGTCAATGTGATGTTGAATTATGTACCAAAACTTTGGAACTTGTTTATCAGGAATTATGATTGTATCATGTATAGGTGGTGGCTAAAAGAGTAATATCGAGAAATTGGAAAAGTGATATTATTCCAGATATTAAAGAATAGCTTTTGGAAATGTGTAACTTATCTGGCCTGGAAAAGGCAATATTTTCCACTAATCAAAGGATGAAGCAACATTTCTACTTTGGCAGAGATGTTATGATACTATACAATAATATTTTGTATCTGATTATACTATAGTAATGTTTGGTATTAATAAACCAGTGCAAATCAATAAGGTAGATTTTTTAGTTTATCTTTTTTTTCTCTTTTCTTTTTCTGACTTTTATCGTTTAAGGATTGTTTCATTTGATTTTGCTATTTTAGTGTATCTTTGTATTTCACTTATATTTTGTATTCTTCTTAAATAAAGATTAATTTTAAAAAAGAATTAACACTGCTTGTGCTCTGTGTTAAATATACTGCAGATGTTACAGAATTCAATGCTTTAGGTAAGTGTGTCAAAAATAAAGATGGTATTCTGTTTCTAGAATTTCTAGAATGGTTGATGCCCTGTTAATAAAAGAAAGCAAAGAACAATGTTTGCCAATTCCTAGACTCCTGCAGTCCCCCCAACATGTTTCACATACTCCGGAGGGTCTCCCAGTCCTCTGAGGCCAATTTTCAGGGAGACCTGTGAAAAGGGAAAACCAGCAAACATCATTCATCTTCTTTTTCTTATAGTAGAGGCATCTACTAAACCAAAATATGCTCTTGAAGCAGATGGCACAAGTGTATTCTATGAAAACTGGCAACTCTTTATGAGGAAGAATCTAAGTGGGGCTGAATTTTAATTTAAGATGTTCTAATTCTTTCTAAACAGGACACATTATTGATATTAGTCAATTTGTTGCCCTTTACTTCCAGCAGTCTATTTTAAAGCTAGCTATTCTATTTCATGAGTGGTAGTAAGAAAGGTATGAAATCCGGAATTCTTAATCTGATATAGCAAGGGCAGAGAGAGAGTTTGGTGTAGTGGTTAAAGCATCACGCTAGAAACCAGGAAGCCAAGTTCTAATCCTGATTTAGATACAAAGCCAACTGTGTGACCTTGGGCCAGTCATTCTTTCTCAGCCCTAGGAAGAAGGCAATGGCAAATCACTTCTGAAATCTTGCCAAGAAAACTGCAGGGACTACAGGTAGACCTCGCTTAATGATTGCCCTGCTTAGTGACTGTTCAAAGTTAAGATGGCACTGAAAAAGTAACTTTACAACCGCTCCTCACATTTACATCTATCGCAGCGTCCCCGCAGTCATGTGATTGACATTTGGGCACTTCACAACCAGCGGATGTTTATGACCATTGCAGCGTCCTGTAGTCATGTGATCGCCATTTGCACTCTTCACAACTGGATTCTGACAAGCAGAGTCAATGGAGAAGCTGACAGTAAAATCTCAAATCACAGTCATGTGATGTCTTGCTTAACGACCAAATGGGAAGTGATGTCATAAGTTTGTTGCAGTCATGTGATGGTTTGCTTAGCAACTGTGACACTTAGTGATGGAGTTGCTAGTCCCAATTGTGGTAGCTAAGTAAGGATTACCTGTAGCATAGGCAGTCTCCAGGAGTCAACACACACACACAGAGCAAGGGCAAAGTATTTTGTCAAAGCATGGCAATGTAAGTTTCAGTCTGTTTTTGATATTCATTGTTGCACTCTGTTCATTCTTTTCTGAGGGAGTAAAAACCTTTTTCCAATTTCCCACTGTTTCTCATGACTGAAACACCAAAATGTCTTTAGCTTTGTTCCACTGAAACACAGCCAACTTGAACTGTTTCCATAGTCTGTTGGTTATTTTGTTTCATGCTCAATATTAAACATATTTTCCAAGTTGTTCACAAACTAGTTGGGTTAGAATGTCAATTCTTTATAAGGTAATGAGTTGAATTCTTTATAAGATAATGAATTGACAAATAAGGAAGATTAGCTATACCAAGACCAATTTCATTTTTTAAAAACTGCTATAGTTTTAATTTCAATGCATTACAAATAAAACTAAAAGTATAGGCTTTTTAAAAAAATTGTACTTAAAAATATGGGGATTTTTCTCTGAGGGAGCAGCAAGATATATTTGTTAACCTCCAATAGCAACAACCCAATTGTAACCAGTCAATCGCAGCAGTTTTCCAATGTTTTCCAGAAGCAGCAAAGACTGGATCCAGAATGGCTTTTTACTGAGTCATGTGCTGCTTGAACACCTGCTACTTTGTCCAGCATGCCATTCCCTAGATCACCCTACCC